CGATAATCGTAACGTGCTATCGTCTAACCAAAAGTATGCGAGAAACATTTAGCTCTCCCTCTCCTTCTTTCTCCTTCCCTTTTCCTTTTAAATCTCAGCTTACTTTCCCCCCGCGCGTCGTTCGCGTACCTTTATCTCCATCATATTCTCCTCGTCGCTTTGTCGTGTTATCAACGCGAGTGGTATCACCGTGACGTCATCGGTTCGCACACGGCTCTCTAAATAGTTGTTAATTAATAACCTACAAGTATAGTACTGTTCCCAGTTTTTATTTATTCATCGCGCCTCCCTCTTAAACTCACGCACACACAATTTTTTTTTATGTGTTCTTTGTTAATTTCAAAATTTAAAAAAATACATATATACTCTCAACCGGACACGCGCGTCGCGACGGGCGCGGTCTAACTATTTTTTACTTTTTTCTTTATTCTTCTTTTTTTTTGGTTCAACTTGTCAAATAACGCTTATCTCGCTCTCTGCGCTCTCTCTCTCTCTCTCTCCCTGCCTCTCCCTTCCTCTCTTACTCATATTAACTCCCTTAATAAAATCCTACCACAATCTATGTAATAATAATTTATATGCATGTATATTTATAATGTAATGTATTATATATGCATATATTATGTGTCTGTATTATATGCTCGATTAGCGAATATAGATATGAATAGGATTTATGTGGAATATAATGACGTGTACGTTAGATTAGATAATAATTTATCGATGATAATGACAATAATAATAATAGTAATAATAATAATAATAATAGTCATAATAGTAAAACTAATAATATTAGCAATAATATAGTAATATGTATGGTAAAATATAGATGTAATAATAAATAAATAAATATAATAATAATTGCAATAATAAAATCACATCGCGGGGATCAATGATTGACGACTAGAGTTGTACCGCGATGCTTTTTTTTTGCGCAAAGATAATGATAAAAATTGACGATTACAAATAAATGCGATAAATTTGACAAATCACAAAAAAAAAATCAATCGAGACGAAAGACAATAATAAACGGCGTATATATGCTGTAATGATCCGATAATATATAAATAGCACACGATTTCTCGCGCTTTTGGCAACAGAGTCTCTCGATAGCGGGGATAATATTAATCGTAATTGTCGTATGTCAATAATAATTAATGATAATAATGATGTGCGACTGACATCACGACGACGCACAAAATAGCAAGAACCTTATCAAATCCCCTTCCTCTAATAATAATGATAATAATAGGGCAATAATAATAGAGTAATAATATAATAATAATAATAATAATAATAATAATAATATTAATATTAATAGTAATAATAGTGTTAATAATAGTAATTATCCCTGTGCTTCGCGCACGTGCCCTCCCGCGTGTACGTGTGTCATGCGCGTGTCGTATGTATATTTATACGTATGTGTGTACGTGTGTCCTCTTATCGTCTAATAGTGTTAATTATTACATACGCTGAGTGTTTAACTTGTTTTACACGCGATGCGAAGTAGCAAAGATATCGAGAGGCCATGACTAGACATTCAATCGTATAAGTTTCTTGCCATACGACTTATACAATATTAATAACAAGATGGCGGGCGGCACCGGAAAATTTGCCGACGAATAAAACACTCGACTTATAATTATGTATTAATCATACACGTAATGTACACATAGGTTCTCCTCTCCTTCTCTCTCTCTCTCTCTCTCTGTTTCTTTCCACTCTTCCCTCTTTCCCTCTCACCAAAATACACTACTCCCCATCTTACTTTCAGTATTAACTTCCTTAAACAATTAAAGGAAATGCTCGGCGCCCCCTTCTCCCTCCTTCTCTCGCTCGAAAATTAAAAATAGGGTGAACGATTACGATACAGACATCCTGGAATACTGGAGGCTTCTTATCTATACACCACATAGCAAAATCTTATTCTCTTGTTTATGCATGTACATTCTTTCTCTCCTTTCTCCCTCCTTCTCTTTCTTGTTTGTTCGCTAGAGTTAAATCTTAAAAACGCACGAGATCTCTAAGCCTAGAAAAACGTATCTTAAATTACAACACATACCGTATACCACGTGCTGTGGCCAATCAACGGCCTTCAGCGAGACAATTGATTTACAATTCGATCTTGTATTCTCATTCTTTGCTTGTATTCTCATTCGATTGCTCCTTTCTCTTTTTCCGTGTTTCTTCATTCGTAAGAAAAAAGCGACGGTTCATCAGGAAAAGGAAATTGTGTGCTCGTCCACGCTCTTCTTCCGATAATTTCCCCCCTTAATGGAATGTATGTTAATCGCAAACTGGTCCACGCGAAATGTGTTATATAACACCTTTACGATTACGATTAGTTTTCGATTATATCCTTATCGAAAAGATGTTAAAATATGTTGAAATTATCAAATATCTTTTTTTTTTCTTTGGTCAAAAGCGGAGTTTGCTCGATCGATTTTATGTACACCGATATTTTTTTACCGGACATGCAACTCTAGAAATATCATAAAGCTTGATTATGAAAGATTTGATTTGGAATGAAACTGTTGGTTCATGTAATTTTTAATTTTAGAGAAAAAGCGAAAATAATGGCGAATCGGAAAAATCGACGGCGATTCTTCGACAAAGAGGGGAAAAACGCGAAGGAACATGTTCTCTAGTGGAAATCGGCAGGCCGATCGCATCGTTTCGTCTTCAACACACGGACGATTCATTTAAAAACTTTTCCCCGAGGTAAGTAAGAAGCAAGGGCGGTTCAACGATCAACGATAACTGGCCATTCAACATCGAGTAACGTCTTAAGATCTACTTAAATTCTGGGGTGGAACGACGCGACCGGTGCCTGAAATAATTTGCTCGAAATCGATCGGGCTGCGAGAATAAAAAAAACCTTTCATCATCTTTGTACTTTGAATATGCTCTCTTCTTTTCTTCCCTTCGAATCTTCCCCCTCTTCGTATAATACCTGTCATTTTTCACGCACGCATGTTTCGCTTCCGAACCATTTTTCCAAAGACTCTTTTCAGTGACTTTCCTTTATCGAGAAATGTGGGAATCTACATTAATATATGTCTACCATATTTTTTTATCAAAGATAAAGATACTTTCGTCTCGATTCTTGTCGTCCATTCGTCCTTTCCAGAGTTGCATGTTTGAGCAACAAAATCACATCGTGATAGCATCTCGAGCTAAATTTATCGATAATATTAACGATAATATTAATCTTGTATCCCTACAGTTCCTCGATCGATACTAATCTTGGAGAACTCCAAAGTCGTTAATAATTTGTCTCCGTTCATGGACCATCACTCCTTGCCATCCGAACCGTCGATTGGCGCACCTCGCGCGCGGATACGTATACACCACGTTTAATCATGCTAGTGATATATGCGTACGATAATTAATTCGCGTATATCGCTTACTGACTAAGGAAATCGCGATCGCGCGCGTCGCCGATCTCTGCCGAACTCCGGTTAGCGCGCCGATTCGGCTCTACCTCTTCGCTAAATTATATAATCCAATAATGTAACCCGGGAAAAGACGAGAAGAACGCGTGATATCGCAACCGGAGCCGAGCCGACGTCGCGACGCGCCGATCTTTCGCGTTTTCGTTTACAGCGTCGTATAATATCCATCATGTGGTGTCAGAGAGACTGCAGCTCGGCAGCAAGTACAATGTGTATATAACTAGGCATGCAACAATACTTGGAGTGGTATTTTTCACGAGTTAAAAATAGCGATTAACCATTCGATCTCCCTCCCTTTCTCTCCCCCAATATCTTTCTCTCTCTCTCACACTCTCATCGTTTCACTTTCACAGTTGCTCTTTTTGGTTTTACTCATTAAGTAACATTACTTGGGCCCGGGAAGAATGTAATTTTTCTTCTTTTTTTTTTCTCTCTCTCTCTTTCTCGCAAAAGTTACACAGAGTCGCCGCGCGCCGCTAATGTCTTTTGTGTCTCGCATGTATGTGGCGTTGTGTGCGTGGATAAAAAAAAATGTCCCCTCTTTTCTCGAGATGCACGTATACCTTTTGCATGATTAGGCTCGATCTCCTCTCCGACTCTCCTGCTCTCCCATATGAAGGGTATCCTCTGATCCTCGACCGAGACTCGGTAACGAATGCAGCTGCGATTTTATTCCGCCATAAAAGTTGCCAAGAGAGTCGAGCGAGATTTAGAGGATAACATCAAAACTTCGAGTTTTTCTTTTCGATTTTTAAAGTTGTTTCGTCGGCGGCGCTCGGCGCGATCGGCATACAATTAACGCGCGCTGCGAACGTACAAAAATATATATGTGACATTTATAATCCGCTATAGGTTTCTAAAAACTCGTCTCTTTTTTTTCTCTCTCTCGTTATTATTAATTCACCGGCGATCGACGTCGCCGAGCGTCGCTTGTTAGGGAGCCCGCGATCACTCGCGAAGACTTCCGGTTTGGATTTCCGTGGAGCTCGTTTCGTTCCTCTCTTCCGTTTCTCTGTCTTACCGAACGTCCGTCGCGTGAAAAGAAAATTACATCGGGAAAAGTAAGACCAACGTTCACGAAATGACGGAGGCACGCAACTGGTGTTTCAAATATTAGGAGAGAAAAATAAGCAAAATTCAACGAGTCAGGAATAAAAGCAATTCGATTTGGTCATCCATCGGCTTAATCGTATCCGATTGATAAAACGATTATTGTACCTGATATCTTCTTTGAGATTATTTCTATTCATTTATAATTCAATTTATTATTTTGAGTTCTTTTTTGTATTTATTACGTATGCAAACTTCTATCTTTATTAAAGCAAACAATTTTCCAATTCAAATATCAATATAATATTTAATTGAATACTTTCTGCTTTCGTAGAAATTAAATCGGAGAGATACTGGAAATCACTATAAAATACGAACAATTTAACTGTACGTAGTAATAAGTTAATATATTTAACAATTATGTCATCAAATAATTATATAAAAAAATAAAATTTTAATAAAGGCAAAAAGTATAAAAATTTAGTTATTTTCTTATGGCGTTTCTCCTTGCACGGAATGATTTTAAATAGCTACGAGAAACAATTGCGCTACGCAATGAAGATATCGCGTGTGTCGATGGACAACAAACTAGCTACGTTAAAATATCTATAGATTATAATGCATCGTCTATAATCAAACAGAAACATATTGCTATGTAACGTCACACACATTATAGTGGAATGTAACTGATCACCATCGGCGAGAAAGCTTCGTCGGGGAAACATCGTAGGTGGAGATATCGATTATTATCGGATGAGAAGATATCGATGGATCAGATCGGGAAATGTCAGTTGATACGGCATTACATGATGATACGATTCTGAAAAATGGAAAAGTCATCATCCGAGAATTATTGGATTAATGAATAAGTAATCAATTTAAAAAAAAAAAGTCATGCCGTCAGATCGAAAAAAAACATTTAATCTACATGTAAAACTGCAAATTTCTGTAAAGCTGCAAATTTCCATATCAATAATTGGATCACTGTCTCCCGCTTCGACAGTGGACTTTTCTTAAGAGTTGGATTTCTGTGATTCGATGTGCTTCAAAATGGACTTTCCTCAAAAGAGGTGATATTGATTTTCCGCAAGGGGGGGGGGGGGCCGTCGACGTTGTCGGAAACAGCAGGCGTAGAGAAGAGACGTAGAGAATGAAGAAAAAAAAAGTAAGACCAATGCTCGTGCGTAATGTGAACTGAAAATATTATTAAAAAGCATGTACAACAAAAAATAACTAAAAAACAAACAAAAATACGATTTACAATTAAATTAAGAACAATCGAGATGTATCTCCTAAAAATAATAATAATACAATATTATAATAATATTAATAATAATAACATAACAAACCAGTACAAAAAAAAAGGAAAGAAGAGAGGCTGACAGTTTGAGAAAATGACAATATGTCGAAACGGTACTCGTTCTCATCTTCGCGCGCGTCTCTCATCCCTTGATAACGCGAGCGCGCAAATTTATAAAACACACACGTAGGCACGTATAACATATATACATCATACATACATACACACTCACATATATACACGCACGCATGTACGTACATCTCTCGATTCTTATTTAGGTGTAATGCGTAGGAATGGAATTTAATCTCTCTTGTCTTGTGCGCGCGCCTCACGCAGTCGGATTATTATTGAATGCGACAAACTATTGGTAGTGATGGCTAGCTGGCAAGGTGGCGCATCGTTTCTCTCCTCGTTTTATTCGCGTTTTATATAATAACGTAATAACGATACAATAACTGAATTAATAAGAATAATATTATAATAATGTAATCATAATATAATAATAACTAAATATACATTCAGATAATAATAATACAGTAACTAATTAATAATAAGTATAATGATAATGAGACAGTAATGTAACTATGCATCAACACATGCTTATGCGATGTAAATATTAATGGACAGATGTCTTTGTGATGCTCGGTGCAAGCTTTCCTTTTCCCCTCTCGCACCGCGAAATATTATTTTCTCCAATCTCTTACTCAAAAGAAAGATACCCGAATGTCCCGCTTCCATGCCGTCCTCTCTTGGTGTTCCGTCTTTGTCAAGTTATTTAAAAAAAAAAAAAGAAAAACATGAAAAAGAAACGCGGAAACGCGCAATTGACACAGCTTGACGAATCAAAGAATTGAAAAGAGAGCTTGACGGTAGCTTTGCTCGAGACGGCGCGAAAATGGGGCCGATCGAAAAATTAAGACAGAGATATATCGAAACAAATCGTTATGTAAAAAAAAGAAAATCGAGAATAATCAAAATAATTTTCGATGACTCCTGCTCTCTTCGGTTCTGTTCTTTTCTTTTCTTTTTCCCCTTTCTCTGTTTCTATCGTTCTTGTTTGTCCTTAGAGCTTGATCCTCGTGCTAAATCGCGCGAGGACAATCGGAAAATGTCCAGAATTTGCGATCAAGAATAATATAACATCGATTTTTTCAAATGAAACGAACGTAAGAAACTAATCATCAATATCATCTTTATCGTTCGTGATTCAACGGAAGAAAATCGATAAAAATATTCACGGAATGTTCACGGAATTTATCTGGAGGGCAAACAAGAACGAAGATCTGCGACGATCACCTGGTTCGGTAGTCTTTTATTCAATCGCAATTCGCATCGAAATTGAAGAATCTCTTTCTCTATTTCAATACATCTACCTTGGTGTACCTGTATCTGTCAATTATAAATTTGTTAATCGCATGATGCAAAATGTTTATCGTAACTCGCGTCTCTAGATTTCACAATTCGTGCAAACATCATTTTAATGAGATTTATACAAACGTTAATGTAAACGTCGAAGAAGCTTGCACATACATTTGTTCTTCATTATATATATCATCATATGTTCTTTTTTTTTCTTTTTCTTCTTTTTTCTCAAAAAGCTATATTTTTATAAAAACATTGACAATTTATTTTGTTATTTTTATAACAGGTACAAAACACTTGGATCACAATTTATGTCTCTTTGATCGAGCATTATAAATGCTTAGCTGATTGAAAATTTTCGAATCTTCAGATCAAAATCTTTAATCGAAGCCAACAAAAATCTTCAATTTAATCTCACAAATATTTACCTTATTTATTCAAATCTCGACTACCAAATCAAGTAATCACGAAACGGCAATAATCATGGATTATCCCAAGATTTTCGATTACGATCAATCTTCGAAAAATTGAATTCAAAGACGAAGAAGCGTTTGCGCATACTTTAATTATTGTTCCTTTAATCAAATCGGATAGTCAACTGATAAACAAATCATTTATTTAATATTTTTTTATTTTTATTTCTGTTTATTAATTAAAAATCTGTTATTTTAAGTAGAAACAATACCCGAAACTTGATCGAAAGCTAAAATGCTGCACAATCGAGTTATGGGAGATCAATCTTTAAAAAAAGTTTGATTAAATTAATCACTCATTACATAAAAAAAATCTATCGTATCTTCCGATTGATATAACTTTTTCCATGAATGATGATTAAGCGCGTGAGGTCCGAAAGGTTTGGATCGACTTGAGAGGACTTTCCGAAACTTTCGGAATTGCGCCGAATGTTTACGTAAACGACGATAATTCAGTAATCGAAGATCTATAATCCATGAGGCCTCGTAGTCGAGTAATAGGGTTAAAATTAGACTTTATGTGCCAGCTAGCCTTTTTCCCTTCACAGTATCAGGGGAAGGGAGCGTTCAATAACGTATCGATTGAAAGTGTCACATCGAAAGTCGCAACACACAAGCATTATTAATAGTAATAATATAATAATAAAAAAAATACAATAATATTAATAAAAATATAATATAATAATAGAGCAAACGTGTACGTGCGTGGAGTCGCGCGGCGGAGAATTATGGGAATTCCCGCGTGTGTGTATGATTTACTTAATTTTTTGTTTTATCTCTATCCAACAAAATATATTAATACTATAAGTTTCAGAATAAACGATGATACCGACGCGAACCTAAAACGGCTGCGCGGTAGTCGGGTCGGGAAAAGGGAATCGGAGGGTGTCAGTTTTAATCTCATTGGCGTTTTTCTTTTTAATCGAAATCCAAGAACGTAAAGCAGCAACGATAATCAAGCGAAAATCAGAGAAGAACAGACGTGTGTTTCACAATAGCTGTGATAACTTATCGAGAGAGTGAAAAAAAGGAAAGTCTTACACGCTTACTAAAACAACTAATAGCTACTATACGCGCTACTATACTACTAGAGTAATAATAATAATAATGATAATAATAATAAAAAAATAATAATAAAATAAAATCAAATAAAAAAAGAAAAGAAGAGAAAGGAGGAGATTTCGCCCAAGGATGGGGAGTTGGAGAAAGCAAGTGATTCGCCTTTTGCTTTCGTTCGTTGACAAGGATAATTCTATAAACGATAAACATGCGGTGATTGCGTCATTTTTTTTGCTACGAGAGTCGAGAATAAATTTCGACGAACTAACGTCGTCGACTGTACGTAGCGGATACGCTCAAAATGCCATTCCAAAGTGTGCATTCTACTTCTTTTCTTAAAACATCCCTTGTAATAATACTACGCCATTCTAGTTTCTACGAGTACCAACGATTTCTACGTGTCTCTCCGTGAATATTAAACAATCTTTATTCTCCGTCAATTATCTGCGCCGTCGATATCTGAGCGAGTTACTTAGCAAGCAACAGGACCTGTACCTCGTACTTTGCCAAGGTGAATTATTTATGTATCTTTTACACTTATAACAATTTAAACACATAACGTTGCTTTACCGATAAAAGTGAGCGGTTGCTAAATTTATCAACGCGAATTTTAGTGATAAAACTAACTAGAAAAACTGTTCGATCAAATATTTAATATAGATCGGCTCAAACTCGACGTCGCGATAAAGTAACAGAAACGAAGAGATGCACGAAAGAGAGATAAATATAGAAATTAACTAAATAAAAAAAAAACTAATCGATAACAGTAAATTGAATTGGAAAAGTGAACGTGCGCGATGACCGTTTGACGACATCGTCGTTGTCGCTGTCATAATTGAATACGAAATGCACCTCAGGATGAATTTCCGTAGGAATTGTCGACAATCATTATATAAAAAAAGGGGGAAAAAATTCAGATGCGAAAACAATCGTGAAGGGGGAATTCAAATGGCGGGGATACCGTTCGATCTATCGATTCATAAACGTATAAACGTCCTGTTTATTGGGAATCTACCAGTCTCGCGACGATTCAATCATGGTCTCGGATGATCAACAAAGTTTTATTATTAAACACGCATCTGTGCACGATTCAACGATCCTGTCACCCAAATCTACGACGCTATACTGAAATGTTATATTGAAATTTCATCTTCCTAAATAATTTCTCAAACTATTTGGCGCAATCGTATCAATGTCGCATGGATCAATTGGATGTTTTACCTCAGTAAGATCAGCCAATTATCCATTCATATAGCGCGCGAACAATTTGGGAAACCGATTCGTCTAAAGATCGCTGCTCGAGACGTATGTGTATGTTAATAACTCGGAGCCTAAGTCTAAGATCATGCAAGCCGTTCAACAGAGGATCCAGTTTCGTTCGTCTCGTCGTATAACCAGAGAAGCGAAACTATTAAGATCCGCGCAAACGGTTGCAATTGCATCTTACGAACCTTAGTGGATCTCTCGGGAGAATACGATGAAACAATAATAGTATCTCGCGCGACAACAACACGTTCCTCGCGAGCTTTTGCACGGGGACGCTTCGAACCGCGGTGACCGGAAGCGACACACTGGTCGACCACCACGTCGGAGAGAGCAACGAAAACGTGTAAAATGCGTTTCTCGGTGTATGATTATCAGACGAGGTCTCAGAGAGAAGATCGTGGTTAGTGCGGGATAGCGGAAGGGGTAGGAGGGAATGTTGGTAACGGGTGCGAAGGGAGGAGGGAGGAGGACGGGGGCAGAGTGGAAGGCGAGGGGGGGAAGTGACTAGCGGCGGCGAGCTCTACAACTAAACAACAACAACAGTATTTTCAGTATTATAACAACATTAACAAGTAAGTTATCGCGCACGCGCACGCGTATATACGGCGCGTACGCGCGAAGAAAGGAGCGCGCGCGAATTTGTCGGGGCAGCAAGGTTGATTACGTTCTCTCTCTTTCTCTCTCTTGTTGCGGATCCTCGACATTCGACGAGTCGCGAGGGTTAGAGACGCGTAGAGCGTCGCGCGTCGCGCGTCCTCGCCTCCTTTTCGTCGGCGCGAAACGGACCGCCGTTCGCGAAGACGCGGAGGGAGAGTATCAGGGGGAACGCGCGGGCGCTATGCCTTCTCGCATACCGTCGGTCGATGATGTCCGATGATGTCGTACGGCGGAGTCCACAGGAGGAACGCTTCGGGAACTCCATTCTTGCCGCGTGAACGACACTCGCTCGAGGGAGTCGATCCCTCGCGTATACGGAGCGTGTGGTGCGCCCCTTCTCTAATGGTCGGCGGTTCGTGAAACGTCTCGTAGATGGGGGCGGGCGAAGAAGGTGATGGCAACAGTGGTGAATTGAGCGCGCGAGCGTGGGTGGTAGAATGATGGATGTAGAAGAAGACAGGCGAGCGTAGGTGAAAGGAAAGATCGAGATCGCGGTGATCCCGCGCGGCCGTCCAATCATGTGGAACGGCAACGATGATAACGAGGATGATGATGACGATACGATGACAAACATTGACACTGGCGCACGACGATCATCGTCGTCGTCGTGACGCGTCGCTGCTCTACATGCCGATCGGCGGTACCTGCACATAACGGTATATGTACAGGCGATAGTCCTTGCTGGCGAGTACCACCGAGCCGTCGTCCATTAACGCTACATCGAAACACTGCGCGTGCTTGACTTTGCTCTCGAGGGCCGAGACCAGTTGGCCGTCTTGCGTGAAGATGGTCAGATTGAAGTTGTTATGATTGTCCGCTATCAGAATCTCGCCGTGAGTGTTGATGCCCACGCCGATAGGGTAGTTGGTGATGCCTTCGCCGCCAATCTGTCGTAGGTAAGCACCCTCGTAATTGAAAACCTTGACGCAGTGGGCGCGATTGTCGCTGATGAAGATCTCCTGTTTGTCGTTCACTACCACGCCATTCGGGAATTCAAGATGCTTCGAGCAGCCAAACTTTTGCAGGACGTTGCCGGTCTGATCAAAAATGATGACGCGCATTACCTTGCACTCCACTACGACGATACGTCCCTTCGAGTCAACGGTGACGCCGCGTGGATGTTGGAGGATGTTGGCGCCAAATTTGCGCACGAACTGACCGTACTGATTGTAGATTTGTATCTGATGGGTCGGCGAACGTTCCGTGACGATGATGTCGCCGGACGTTTTTACGACGGCGACCCGATTCGGATAGAGCAGTTGGCCGTCGCGTTTACCGCACTCGCCAAATTGAAACTTGAACCTGCCCTCCTTGTCAAAGATCTGGATGCGGTGATTGTTCGTGTCGGCGACAATAATATCGTTTTGCGCGTTCACCGCAACACCCGACGGTTCCGTAAACTGACCCTCCATTACGCCAAATTCGCCGAACTTGCAGTGATAGATCATCTTCTGCCGCTTGATCTGCGACTTGGGCGGGAATATTGCGGTAGCGGACATCAACTTCGATGTCAGGTCGAGGACGGAATCGCCGGGCGCGGTATTCGCTGCCACGGCTACCGCCGATGGCATTGCAAAGTGATCGTTCGTCGTTACGACGGGATAAGCGTCGCTACCGCCGTTGCTCCATTTCTCGTATGGATTGGCGTTCATGCCGTTCAGATTAACATCGCTGATCGTCGTGGAGAACGGGCCCAGACTGTTGGCCGAGCTGAAGCGTTTGGAAATCACGGTGCTGATGGTGTCGATGGAGGAGGGTGACGACGACGAGCCGCAGTTCATGCTGGAGGAGATCAGGCCGTTACTGTAAGTACGATCTAGGAGAAGACCGCCTAAAGAACCCGCTCCGTTTCCTGGTCCGTTGCTGATGTTGCTGCCGCTGCTACCGATGCCGTTGCTCGACAAGGCGGTAGGTCGTGCGATCGGTGGCTGTTTGCCGATCGAGCCGGCGCTGTTCTCGCTGCTACTGTTACTCCGCACGTAACCGAAAGTGTTTCTCACGCCTACTTGTATCGCCTGGTAATTGCTGACGAACTCGAGATCCGCGGTCTGATTAGCTATGTCCGTGTTCGGCGTGTAATTGAGCAGCGTCTGGAGCTTGGACTCGAAGACCTTCTTGACTATGAGGAAATCAGTAATGGTGGTAACCTTGGTGACGCGCTCGACGAAGTCGCAGGCTTGCATAATCTTGTCCGCCATCTCGTTGGCGCGTTGCCCGAGCACGTTGAGAGAGATCTGCTTCGCCGAGAACACCGAGTCGAGCTCCTTCAACAGCTCCTGCTTCCGCTCGTCCAGCATCGATCGATAAAACTGAAACGTATCGTTGATCTCGTTCTGCGCCTTGTGATACTGCACCTGTAATATCGTCGCGCTGTGATCCGCCGCTTTGACAGCCGCACGGGCGTCCGCCGCCTTCGCGCGGCACTCCTGGACGGTCCGCGCCAACGCCTCGATCTGCTGCGCGCCCACGTCCGAGATGTGAGCGCAGTCGTGCAGCGGCGCCGCGTGCTCCGTCAACGTGCACTCCTTGCATATCGGCACGTTGCAGCTTCGGCAGAAATACTTGATTATCTCCTGCTTGTGTCGCGTGCAAAAGTGTACCTTCTCGCTGTTGTTGCCGTTACCGCTGCCGCCGTTGATCACTAAGCTGTTCCCGCCGCCCCCGCCGCCGCTACTGCCGTTGCAGGTGCTCTTGGGCAATTCCGTTGTCGCGGTAATCGTGCCGCCGCCTCCGCCACCTCCACCGCCGCCACCGCCGCCGCTGCCGTTGCCGCCGCCGCCGACGGTCTCCAACTTGGAGTCGGCCAGGTTCAGCACTCGGTGGCCCTCGAAGCAGAGCATAAACTGATGCGCCATCACGCAATTCGGACAGAGAAACTGGTCGCAGTTGTAGCAACGCGCTACAGCGTCGGCCGCAGTGGACTTGCAGCCGGTGCAGCGAGTGCGACCGGTGCCGCCGGTGCTACCCAGCCGGCAGCGTGGGCACGGATCCTCGCCCGACTTCGGCGCGTCCAGGCACAAATCGCAGCTGTCGACGTCGCAGATCGCCGAGTCGCTAGCAGGCGGCGAGCTGCCGCTCACTGTTACCGGGGACAGCGAGACCGGGGACCCGAGGGAATTCGCGCGCGATTCCAGCGAGGGTGTCGGCGAGGCCATCTTCAGTCAACCGGCATCCCTGCAAGCAGAAGGGCGAATTAGTTTACAGCGCTCACACATTCGTGGATTCTGTAGAACGCGCGTTGTTCTTTAGACTTTATCGATTCAACGAAACTGATCTACTGCTGGATTTTTTTAAATGTTATTTGTAAAAGATGTTAGCGATCATTAATATGATCTCGTTTTTTATTCTTCATTAATTGGTGATTAACTTTTTATTGAAAGGTCGTTAATTATTGATGCGGACTTTCAGTTGATATACAAGCCTCTCAAAAACTAAGCCGATTAACTCTATTTTCTGCAAATTTCTTGATTTTAATATCAAAATGATAGATGATTAGAGTATATTAGTAGGTAATAAAATTAAAAAATTCACAAAAAGTAGAGCTGATCGATAAGATGAAGTTTTAATAGCAGGTTAAAAATATTTTTATCTCCCATCGCCCAGGAAGAATATCGCGTCGCGGCAATGATATCTATAATGGTATCCACTATAATATCATAATAATACCATAATAACGTTGTAATAATCTTTAACTATCGCTCGTGGCTGTTTCTCGAATGAGAGTCGCCGAGTCGTTGGCGCGTAATCGTTATTACGGCGTTTCCTATCTCAAAGTTCTCTTTTATCGCGATTCCCACGCGTCTGCTCCCTCCCCCTTTTCTCGCTTTGCAACCCCGATGCGGTAGCAGTTACTCGCGCGGTTCGCGACAAGCAGAGGACTCGTCCCTCTAATTAAATCGCTCGAGCCGGACGGCCATGTTTCACCTGGCAGCGAGAAGAGGAGCGAGATCGGAGTCTAAGGGGGCCGGAGGGGAAAGGGAACGATGCGCGGCGGCCGCGAAGGAAAAGGAAGAACGAGGGAGGACTGGTATAGACCGCGAGTCCAAGGTCACGAATGCGAAGGTTATCGTACTTCTCTCCCACCAAACGCAGAGCGAATTTATCGGGTACCGTGCGACGACGCGCTCGCTTTTCCACGCTCGGCAGAAGCAGGGGGGAGGCGAAGCAGGAGAGGAGGATAAAACACCGAGGAGGAAGAAAAGAGAATGTCGGAGAGAAAAAGTGAGAGAGAGGGAGGAAGAGATGTAAAGCATTTTTCAGCGATCTCGATGTGCGAAATCCATTTAAATGAAAATATCTTGTTTCTCAGAAGCTTCGAGTAGCAAGCTATGCTCGTCACTGACAAAAATAAAACCTAAATAAAGAAAAAAAGAAAGAGAAAGAGAAAGAAGTATGACATTAAAATCATCTTTATTCATTTTTCTTTTGTATTCAAGGTAAGCGGTCAAGAAACCAACCGATACACGTGAGCGAGATGGGGAAACCAAGCGGAGAAAGACAGAGAGGAGAGGATGAAGGCGAGCTAGGAGAACAAAGAGCATCTGCTTCAGGAAATACTTTTCAAAGCGTTACAACACCAGCGCGAGTCCTCTCGCGCGCGCGCCGTCTTCGTGCAAGAATTTCGATTAACTCCCCGAGATAAAAGGTGAACGCTCCTGAGGGAAGCGTCCGTGGAGTCGAGGTCGCCGGAAAGCTGCGTTTAACATACCGAGACCGACAAAGTCACGGGGAGCGTAACGCGTGGCGGCTGCGATAAATTCACCGAAAGCGAATTCATGCCATTATGAAGTGTAAAAATATGCACGTTAAAGTAGTGTTAAAAAGTGTAAAAATATGCGCGTTAAAATAGCGTACATGTAAAATATCTTCATTCTATCTTACGAATAGAATATTTATATTTAGAGAGCATACTTCAAATAAATAATTTAACGATGCATATTTTCATTTCGTTAACTTCCCGTAGAGGAACGTCAGGTCACTCATGTGTAACGCATATTTTAAAAATGTTTCGATGTGCGCGATAATCAAAACAAATATTTCATATATGTACAGAAATATTATTATAAATTTTTTTTTCTTTTTAATTGTGGCACCAATGTGGTTTTTTTTAAACAATTAAATATTTAAGATACAAAGTACACATACAATTAAAATCCATTATCAGATTTCATTCTGCGATATAGTATAAAAGAAGTTTTGCTACGTCAAAATTGATCCAGCAAATTCGTCCATAAAGTCCATGAAAAGGATTAATATATATCCTTTTTGAATCTTTTTAATGAAGTAAATAATTTGAAACATCTAAAAAGAGGGAAGGATTTTTTTATGCGCGATTATGAAAATCGCGAAATATCATTTTATTAATGAAAATGTATAAAAAAATTAATACGAAATATATGATGTGATAAAAAAGACAAATTGCAAGTCATTTAAATATCTATTATTGAAGTTAAATTCATCCATATAAATATCCTATGTGAATAAAACACAATTTAAACAAGTTATATATAAAAAGCCACGACCATACCATTTCCATTTATTCATTCATTTTTATTTATATACTGAATATACTTTTGCTAACTTTATCCATTGCAGATATTCCCATTGTGTTTTTTTTTTCATTTTATCTTAACATCTGTCTGTGCACGTCGCGATTGTCGAAAGATCGTCGAGGAAAGAATAGAGGAATATTTCCAATGACCGCGTGTGGCGCAAGTATGACAAATCAAGCGGCACACGACGGGATATAACGTGTTAATTCTTCCTCTCTCGCGGCGCGAGATGGGGATGAAGCGTTGAATAAAAAATGCGACGTGGTTCGCGCGCGCGGGGAGAGAAACGGGCGCGGAGAAACGTGTCCTTGGCTAGAGGATAATTCCCGTTACCGAGGTACCGTTGCATTTTCGAACGCGGATCGCAAGCCCCGCGGTTGAATGCACCGTGGGAAGGGGTGGCGGACGGCGCGTCTGGTTACCATGGTGACGCTGCATCGACCGCCCCAACCCTTCGAACCGGGGTTGTTCCGACGAGGGTCGAGTCCGTTGCCACTCGCTGGCGCGAGTGGTGGTGGTGGTGGTGATGGTGGTGGAGCGGAGGGGGGTATCAAGGGGGGGGGATTGGCAACCGCCGCCCTTCGGGAACGGTAACCGTTGGTGCATCGCCCTTCCACGCAACCCGGCAGGCAGTGCGTGCTTTTCTACGGGGTGAGCGAAAAGAATCTTTTCGATGGCGAAAGAATATAAAAGCGAAACAAACCCTCGAAAAATCCAAGACATTGCGGGCTTGTAAGCACCGTAATTACGAGCTTAAACGACATTCGAAATGTCACGTGTGATTACGATATCTTTTATAAAAATGCCTAAGATTTGGATAATTCATTTTTGAATAATTTTTTCCCTAAACTGTAACAATTTAAGTATAATGTTTTTCATTTCGCGTGACACATTTTCAACTCGATTCTAACTTTGCAAGCTCGATTTTACAAACTTTTTATAACTTCACTGACATATCCTGAAAAAAGCTCGCGATATTTCGAGAAAAAGATTGCAAATTTGGAAGCGTCCAAAGCGAGTGAAAAATCATATCAATTTTTGATCATTGAGGAATTAAATATGAAGAATGTTTACAACGATCGTATCACACATCGTGTATGTATAAGTCGGGAGCGTACACTACTCCGATCGGTAATTTCAATGTCACTGCCGAATCATTCTTCAGCGAGCCCCCAAACGAAGGGAGCGGTCGCACCATCTGCCCCTCCCTCCTTCACCCCTTGATTAACGTTATTTCACTCGTCGGGCGAGCATCGACCGCGATCGATACGCGGCGCGGTGGTGGCGGGATATAGTCACGTTGCCGGGCCGAGGAACAAGGAACGAGATGAGGAGACGAAGCGGGCGAAAAGGCCATCGGCCTGCGCCGCAGACGGATTGGTAACGGCCGCGGCGCTGGCGGTTATGGGAAAGGTGGGCGAGGGAATGTGCGAGACCGGGATGGACAGGGAGAAATTTATTGGCCAAGGCTCCAAGATGCCTTGTATATTTTCGCAACGACCCGCGATATACGAGAGCAATACGGCTAATTAAAGCGACGAGATTTCGCCAAAGATCAGTGACTTTCGATAAAGATACATTTTGATCCTCCCCGTCTTATTGATGGTAAATTATCATAGAAAAATCAGCCATTATCATTAACTTCCTCGGACTCTTCTCTCGATGAGATTTTACTGTTTATCCAACTATATATATATAAAACTGTTTATCTTTCACTGTTTATCAATGACGGTACACTGATTCCGTTTAGAGAATGAATATATCGTTCCAAATATCCGTGTCCAAATGTTGATGTATCATCGCTCATGTAACGTTTCAGAATATTTGGAAGGGATAAAAAAAAATTCAAACGAGAAAGAAGTGGTTATTAATTATTTCGGATTAAACTGAGTCAAAATAGAAACGACAAACTAATATATCAGATATTTATAAAGTATAATATATAATAAATATATAGAAAAATAAACTATGTACAGTAAAATAAAAACGACGCAATAAAAAAATTAAATTTTATTTTCTGTTTTTTCGAAAGGGAAAGAAATTTTATTCCTAAAAGCAGAGAATATTCTAAGCTAGAAGGAAGGATAAAATGAGACGGAAGCCTACCAGACGCCAGATCGATCGTGTCTGCGTGCTAGCGTCGACAACGGAAACGGAAGTGGTTGTAACGAGATCGTTTAAGTCCCAACGCACACCGAAGGATTTCTAGCGAGTGGAAAATTTTCATTCCAATTGAGGAAAATAAATTCTCGTGGCAATATTGATTTTAATCTTCATCATATGAAGAAACTATCTCTGATTAAATATATATATGTATGCACAGATGTTTAATAAAGTTTAACAGTCCAAGAATTCTTATCCTCATCAATTAATGACAAATTTGAGCGAAATGTAAAATTTTAATCCACTAATTAATGTTTAAAATATTATTAATGTTTGGAAATTTTCTATTTTATATAAGTTTGATCCTTTTTCCCCCTTAATTAACATTATGAAAGTATTTCTTTTTATATAAGTGATTTCTTTTTTATATAGATAATCCTATTAATCAATACATGATACATATATATAGAGAAAAAATACATGGTATTAATAATTTATATAATATTGAGGGAGAGAGAA